AAAACTTTTTTGGTCAAATTATAATATTTTAAATTTGAGAAATTTAAATATTATGTGTCTATAAACTTCGGAGAGTTTAGATGTAACTTACTAATAGATATGCTGACGGACATAAATAGCAGGAGTATAAGTGTTACGAGCATATAAATTTTAAGGGATTTGTGTGAAATATTTTAAATGTTAGAGNTGCTTGGACACCCATGATCATAATACAAAAAACAAAACTTTTTTGGTCAAATTATAACATTTTAAATTTGAGAAATTTAAATATTATGTGTCTATAAACTTCGGAGAGTCTAGATGTAACTTACTAATAAATATGCTGACGGACATTAATAGCAGGAGTATAAGTGTTACGCGCATATAAATTTTAAGAGATTTGTGTGAAATATTTTAAATGTTAGAAGGTCTGTGAGTACTTCTTCGTAATTTTTATTAATTGATGATGTCACATATCACCGTTATATTAAATATTTTAAAATGAACTAAATCGTAACCAGTAACCACACATCTCGATGATCTCATAACAAAAGTTGAAAACCCCCATGGTTTATTCACTAAGCGTGTTACACCATAGTGCAGCCCAATATTTTAATATGTAACATTGTTGAAGATATTTTTCACACGTTGTACGGCGTAGAATGGTCAACAACGCAAATTGAAATCTGTCGAGCAACAAATAATTAAATAAATCTGATTAATAAACAAATTAAATATAAATAAAATTAATAAAAAATATATATATATATATCACATAATTTATTTATTTATTAATTATATATGATTAAAATTTAATAAAATATAATTAATTAAATACGAATTAAAAAATAAATTAGGTACGGATGAAATTATTTTTACTACGAGAATACTAAAAACTCGACACAGGTCTAACACCAAATAACCAGTGGCCGGCTTTGGATGTCGCATTCAATTGCAAGCCCACCGTTTGGAAGTCTCTGGAAAAAACTCTTCCCTAAGAAAAAAGGCCTATAAAATCGACTCCGATTCAAATTCTCTGATCATCACTCTTCTCTCTCCAAACTTGCTTATTTTGCAGTTCAAAACAAAAAAAAAAAT